GACGAGCTAAGGGTAGCTCGTGGGATTGTTGATCGGTCTCGGGCTGAGATAACTGCTCTTCAGACCCTTGTTGATGCCCACCATCGGGAGCACAAGGCTCTCTGCGAGATGCTTGAGCGCAAGGGCGTTCTTCATCGGAAGAAGCAGCGTACTGATGGTACGGCTTAAGCCGACCAACGTAAAACGTGGGATGCGTTCGCATCTTACGTGGTAACTCGATCGTGTATGCATTGCCTAGGCGGTGCAATACACGAAATGGGCCAATGTACTTGGGTAGTAGTTTACTGCTACCCAAGTTAGTCACTACATGCTTTGGTAGATTAACCGTAGACAGTAGGACTAAGTCACCTTTATTAAATAAAAGAGTGTTTGCCCTTCCATTCTTGTCAGCGTTTTGCTTTTGCTTATCCACCGCTTCGGCGATGGAGTCTTGCACAAAACGGACTACCGTTTCACGAGCCAGTATGAACTCATCTGATGACTCGTTAGCTTCAGTGTGCTGTGAGCGCACTGCAGCAACATCAACCTTTTCTTCAGTGAGGGCTTCCGCACTCTCACTGGGATCATCTTCTTCAGTGAGGGCTTCCGCACTCTCACTGGCATCATCTTCTTCGATATCGATGTTATCGATATCGGCATCAAACGCAATGACTTCTTCGTCAGAGCGTGATGAGCGTGAACCAAATCGGTTTTTGCTCGCGCGAGTCCCTCCCCCCTTAAACCAGAGTTGCACTCTAGTAAGGTGGGTACACGCGGATGGCGCAAGCCATTCACGTAAAACGGTGTATGTGTCGTGGACGCGTGCACCGAGTTGTTAATGGCAAACTCTGGCAAAAACTCACTCCAACTCTTAAAGGAGTGTACGTATCCTCGAAGTATCTCTTCAAGGTCACGATTGGCACGTTCCGTCTGACCATCTGACTCTGGATGATCAGATGTCGACATCTTCAAGCGCGTTCCGAGTGATTTGAACACGGAGCGGCAGAAATCAGCAGTGAATCGTGGATCTCTGTCTCATACGAGTTCACGGGGCAACCCATGAAGTCGGAAGATGGTGTCAATAAAGACACAAGCACAGCCACTTGCCGTGATTGTCTCTGGTACAGCCACAAGGTGTACCATATTGCTGAATCTGTCAACAAATACGATAATACCCGTATTCCCGCGTGCGTCTTTGGGTAACCCGAAGACGAAATCCATTGAGATGGATTCCCAGCACTCAGCCGGAACCGGTAGAGGCTGTAAAGGTGCACGCAGTGAAGGACTTGACTTCACTCGTTGGCAGACTTCGCATGCGCGAACATACTTTCGCACAAACTGATACTGGCAGGGCCAGTAAAAGTCTCGACTTACCGTGAGATATGTTTTCTCTCGGCCACGATGTCCTCCTATAGGAGCATCGTGATACTCGAACATGATCCGCAAACGCAGATCAGTATCATCTGGAATGACAACACGTGGTGTGTCACCATAAACGGCTGTATAATACAGTAAACCGTTACGAGCAGTGTATCGATCTGATGCAGATCGATACGCAGACGACAATCGTTTCAACGATTCTCAAGATGGTTGGGAGAGATGTGTCAACAACTTCACTATCTCACCATCTTGGGCGTATGCCCGCCTCACATCATCATACAACGTTGTAGATGGGACTGAGGACGTCATAACCGCAACAGTGACTGTCTCACTGTTGGGTTTCGCGACTGTTTCAAAGTCGGGACGACGTGAGAGTGCATCAGCGACGACATTAAGTCGTCCTGGTTTGTACTCGACCGTAACGTTGTATTCTGCAAAGAATGACAACCACCGCGCCATTCGTTGTGAAAGGTGCGGGCTGTTCACTGCCGTGCGTAATGACGCATGGTCAGTGTAAACAACGAAGGGTCTATCTCCTAATAGATAGACTCTGAACTTCGCGAGTGCATACTTCATGGCAAGGAGTTCCTTGTCATGCACTGGATAGTTCCGCTCAGCTGGTTGCAGCTGACGCGACTGATAGCAGACGACGCGTTCAACGCCTTCAAGATCGTACTGCATTAATGCACAGCCGATTGCGAAATCGCTGGCATCACATACCACATGAAATGGCCTGTCCTGATCGGCTATTGCTAGGACTGGGGATTGTATCAAGCTCTGCTTGATACCCTCAAAGGAGCGTTGACATTCAGCGTTCCATAACCACCTCTCGTTCTTTTTCAACAAACGAGAGAGGTGCACAGTCATATCGGCGTAATTGCGTGAATACTTATGCAAATACGCCGCTAGCCGAAGGAATTTTCGAAGACCTTTGACATCGACCGGCACAGGCCAGTCGGTGATCGCCTTGATCTTTTCGGGATCAGGACGTACACCGTTCTTACCAACGATGCACCCAAGAAGTGGTATTTCGCTTGCTGCAAATATACACTTCTTGAGGTTAGCATACAATTGATGCTTTCGCATGATTGTAAGAACTTGTCGGACGTGGTACCTGTGAACCTCAACGTCCGACTTTCCATCCACAGCTCGACTATGGATGAATACGTCATCGAAATAACTCGGCGCGAATTCTCGTACTGGTCTCAACAGATGTGATACATATCTGTTGAACGTGGCAGGGGAATTACTGAGCCCTTGTGGCATTACTAGCCATTCCCAGAGCATGCCGCTAGGCGTGCTAACTGCAGTATAGGGTATATCCCGTTCCCGCATAAGGATTTGATAGAAGCCATCCATCAAATCCATGGACGAAAAGATGGTACTCTTTGACATACCATCAATGATTACGTCCTTCCTCGGTATCGGCGTCTGAGCCGGTACCGTTGCAGCGTTCAATTTGTTGAACGCGTGCACTATCCGCCACCCTCCTGTTGCTTTTCGCACACAGAAGGTCGGAGAGCTATGTGGGGAAGTTGATTCCCTCACATGGCCCGCAGCTGAACGATCGGCAAAGAATTTGTCGATCGCAAGTACTTGTTCACGAGGCAGTGGCCACTGCTTCATGACACAGTACTTCGAGCCTGGTTTAAGCTCGACCTCGTGTCGAATACCTTTATCCTTCGGTAATTCGCACGGAACAGTTTCAGGGAATACATCCTTGAATTCAACCAAATCTTCATAGAGAGGATTTTTCTTGAGCGATTCCCATGATTGGGAGTCATATCGCTCAATTCGTGTCTTTTCATCTAGGACACTCTCGTCCATAGATGAACTACTGAGAACTCTCTCGTTCTCAGTGAACACTGTTGCTGACCTTATGTCGGTTACACACTCGTCGTCAGCGACGAGTATGCAGATCTGCTTGACTTTGCCACTACGCAGATCACGCAAGAACCTTTTATGTTCGAGCGTTGGCAACTGAGTGATCTCCGAAGTTAACTTCGGAGGCGCAATCAGATCGAGTGTATAAGCGCCTACACTTGATCCGTTATTGACTATGACATTCAATGTCTCTGTCATTTCCTGGGGACTTATTCCCTCAGGCTTCGAAGGGCTTATTCCTTCGGCTTCCCGGGGACTTATTCCCGCGGGTTTCGGGGAACTTATTTCCGCCGTATTTGTAATCTTGGGACTTATTCCCTTTACTTCCTCTAGCTGGGGTTGCGCAACCACAGCGAGATCCTCTACGAAAGACTCTCCAGTCGATCTAGGATTATCATTTCGCTTAACCTGAGCGATCGATTGTTTCTCTTCTAGATGTTCCCCGCTGGGGATACATCTTTGTCCCAGTCCACCCGACTTATTCGAGTGGTGGACCTTCGGCGCAGCCTGTGTTTCCTCACAGCCGCCGGAACTTTGCTCCGAAGTGTAACCGTTTGGTACACTAAGGTTTTGTGCAGTCGTACTAACGACCGTACCACAAGTGAGGCCATCGCACTCACTCGTAGTACATCCACACGCTTGTGGACGCTCCAAAACGTTCATCAGATGGCCATCTGATGAACAAGCGGCAGGCATCGTTACTGTCCGATGTTGCCAGTTTACTCGTGGTTCGTACCTTCTGAGCCACGGTATTCCAAGGATGACATCAAATTTGTCATCCAAATCCAATACGATAAAGTCATCGTCATATTGGGTATCTTCTAGCGTATAGTGGATCTTCGCTATACGCTTCATGACGGTTACGGATGCGCCTGTCGCAAGACGTACCGTCATCCTCGTAGGAGGTGTGTCACATTCACTGAATTTAAAGTGACCATCTTCTAGCGATTGGCGTCGCACAAAATTGTTGGACGCCCCACAATCGACTAGAGCTCGAAGGGACAACTTATTCGTCGCTTCGAGTTTCAAGGTAATGAGTGAGACCTCATTACCTAGAGCAGCAACGCACAACGTTTGTGTGTTGGGAGCAACTTTCATCAAGAGGCCTACAAATTCTCTTGACGTTGCTAGACCAGTAGGGTGCTCCGTACCTACTGATCCTGTCCGTTTTTTGACGGTCCATCCCGTTGTTTCGTCTTTGCACCAACTGCGGACCCTCGTCCCTGCCCCTTTATCATGGGTGGACGGTCACTACGCCCAGTGTTGCGAGACACTGGACGAGGGGCACTACAATCGTAAGCGTAATGTCCTGTCTTTTGACATCTGTTGAATTTCTGCAACTTCTTGTAGTCTGTAGAGCGAGCCTTCTCGCTCTCTACATAACAGAGTTCCATCGGCTCTGGACCTCCGCTGTCTGATCGTCTCGGTTGACGATATGATGTCGAGCTGGCGCGAGCCTGTCTCAGACTGAAGTCTTCCTGCTCCGCAATGGAAATGGCTTGTTCTAGTGAATCTAGTTCAAGCCGGAACAGGTGAGTCTTGACGGGACCATCCGCAAGACCCTGCATGAACACCGAAACCAACGTGTGTTCATCCACCGGATTGGAACTTATACAACTCGTAAGATGTCGTATATGTTGGGCGTAAGCGTGCACATCACGCTTACCCTGTTTGAGCTTCAAGAGCTCAGTTCGAGCTCTGAACTCAGCTCTAGGTGGTTCAAACGTTTGTCTGAGCCGCGACTTGAAGACTTCTAATTACCCAAACGCATATAAGTCGTGCAACTTGAGCCCCAGTGCCCAAGTCTTGGCACGTCCTGCCAGATTTGAATGGGCAAATGCAACTTGCATATCCCCGTCGTCGATGCGACGCGCCCTTATGGCGTCATCCAATTCGACGAACCATCTCAAGAGGGAGTCTTCTTCGACCCCCCTGTACTTTGAGATGTCAATCTTCAAAGTCTCGGGTCGACGCGAGTGCATCGACCCGCCAGCAGCAGCCTGCTGCTGTCTTAACAGTTCAAACTGTTGAGCACCCTGTTCTCTCAACAACTCTGCTTGTTGAGAATCTTGTTGGTGAAGCAAGGCTACTTTCTCGCGTTCAGCGTCAAGTTCATTTTGAATGAACTTGGCGATAGTAGCATGTTGGGCATCTCTATTGAGAGCCTCTAGCATGACGCTAACAGCATGGATGCCCATGGTCGAACCCATTCGTTCAACCGCATCCCATTCGACATCGATCAAATGGGAGTAGCCGTCACGCGTAGCGTGAAAGCTTTGGTCATCTTCATCATCCAACATATTCATGTTGGATGTGAACGCGGTCCTTGGACGGACTACGAAGTGCTACCAGGTGTAACGGGGCACCCTGAAGCTTGTACTGGTGACAGTACAAGCTACTTATTCTGATGACAGAATAAGGCGGTGCCTCGTAACTTCACGTACACTCGTACGTGCAGAGGAAGACGGTAAGAAGAAGCGAGTACTTGGTTAAAGTAAAAAGTAGAGCTGTATTTATAATAGTAATGCCTGCAATAAATCACTATTTACCTTCATCTAACTATGTCTAAATACAAATGTGTAAATCAGTTATCTGCTCACCACTCATTGCGTGCGTCTGTCGTGGCGCGTCTTCGTTGGTTGATATAATGGCCTATATCAACCAATTAGGAACTACTCGTAAGTGCTACAGAATATTGTCCTTATGACAATATTCTGAGAATATAACTCTTATAGTTATATTCTATTAACAATTTCTTATAAATTGTTATGTAACGATTCACCCCGTTACACTCCTCGATTAGGTAGTCTAGTTTCAAGGTTAAATACGTAAGTAAGGTTTGTTATCGCTATACATCAGAAAATGAAGTCATCTTCCTTTCGATCAATCTAAGACACGTGTCATACTACGACGTCTTTGATCGTAAGCGTCAAGAACTGTTTTTGACGAATACTCTCGGGCATTATTACCACATTGTTCCTTGGAGTCATTGTCCCCCCCCTTGAACCAGGACTAGAAGCTTGCGAGCTTGATAAGATAAGTCTCACTAATTCTGTGAAGACTTGAGACCCGTCAAGCTCATATTCGTCTTGTTTAAATCACTAAGAGACTCAACGAGTCAATAAATCTGCCTCTAACAAAGGAGTAAGGGTAGCTCCGCTGCACATTTTGTTTTATTGCTCAATGAAACTATCGCTCGTGTGTGGCACGAGTTGAGTTTTGGCACAGTGCCGTCAGTGCATTTAAGACACCGAGTTCTGAAAACGGGTCTGCTGCAACAGAAACTTCATCTTAATGCATACGTGTGCCGATTCTGAGCTTTCTCACCCTGAAAGACGACAACAATTGTAGTTTACCGCCTCCTACTCAGTGGGGATGCTGACTGACATCGCTGAATCATCGCCTAGTGGTGCCGTCGTAATTTGTATCGAAACGCAACCATGAGATTAACTGTTAACACTACCAAGCTCAACTCGCGCGGAATTAGGCCTCTGAGGGGGTCAATAGTCTGCTTGGGAGAATGCATGCTGTGGTCCTGAGTCGGCTGGTCCAACGGCTTTTGTTGTGTCCTGTACGTAAGGCTTATTTATCCTGAACGAGATATCACATCGAAGTTTTTTTTACACAATCGGTATGAAAGTATCTTGCGGTTGGAATTGTACAATCCTTACCGTTAGGATTGGGTGCTGAGCCATCAATTACTCTTGAATACTTCGATTCGCAGATCAATTCGTATACCTCACGAGAGGTATTTTGGCGAGGTTTATTTCTGTTGTGAAACCATGTTTGAAGATCATTTGACGTTTTGAGCAAGGAAATCACAAGCCTGTGAGAAGTAGTTCGGTTCTTGAGCTGTTGATTCTTTCAACGTTCTTTGCTCTGTCACCCCGTTCTACCCCTGACTGTTGGCTACCCCTCAGTTCGTTGAACTTGTTAGGTCCTAAAGTCGTAACCTTTAGCTCACTTAACCAAGCGGCTCTGAGAGCCTAAAGACGTTCTCTGACTGAATCGGTATTGTAGCATCGCTACACCATGACAGAGCGGGACGCTCTACGTGAGAGGTATCTCACTCCTCAGATTACCACCAAGCAGGTGTATCTAGCGCGCCTAAATGATCAAGCACGTAATGCTTCTGTACCCGCCATGAGAACAGTCCCGGTAGTCTTACTCCCAGGCGAGTCTGAACAGGACGATGATGACGAATTCGTTCGTTGGGTCCATCATCGCCAATATGGCAACATGAACACTATTCGGGCAAGCGGTGACGAACATCACGTTCGCCTCGAGCGAACATTGCGCTTTGATTTCGCAAAGCTAAAGGCCAGAGGCCAGCTACGCTCGGCGTATCGATACCGACAACCGCCTCGAACGCAGACCGCAATGCACTCTAGTTCTCCGGCTGCAGCAGCGTCGGGTCACCACCATAGCATGACCGCAGCAGACCCAACTGCTTTTATACCTACTGGTAGAAATCGACTCAGGTCGCAGGATGACCATGCACGCAGTCTTCAAAAACGTCAGAGGTGTATAGGCAGTAATGACGGTGGAGGATCCGGTACCTCGACGAGATTTCATGGTGAGGGAGCCCCCGCCACTTCACCACAGACTAATCGTGCCAATGTCGACGACGTCGCTTCTGAAGGTGTTCCACGTGGCAGTAGAAGCATCCTCGCTCAGCGCGCAGGGCGAGTTGACGCCAATATATTGGCGGAAGCCAATGACGGGCTCCGTCAAATAGTAGACAACCTGATGCACGAGGTACAACATCTCCGTGCTACCCTTGTGGAGTCTCGAACTACAACATGTCTGCATTCAACTGCCCTAGCACAGCTCCGTGACCAAGTGGACCGCTTTGGATCTCCAGGCTTGATTGAAAATCGTCTTCGGGCTCTCGATCAGGGCCAATCCCGACTGGAAGGTCAGCTGGACGTGTTGCTGAGGGTGCAACATCTATCCGTGGGACAGTTACCGTCGCATTGGTCGACTCCAGAGCCTTGAGCCCATATGGGTAGATTCCGGAACGCTTCAAGCAAGACTTCACTGACCACGTCTTTTTTCGAGTACATCTCCCGGAATGCTTAGTCGATGCGCTAGGACACTACTTGGCCGCAAGCGGTTCGACGGACGACTCCGCCAAAAGCGACGCGACCGGGCTAGATTTCATAAGCTAGAAACAAGTGGTCGCTAGGTGTAAGACGTTGTTCCAAACGTTCTGTTGGTTGCGAAATGAACTTGTGCACTTACTCAAGTCAATCCATTTCCGTGACGTGTTCCTTGAATGCAACAACTTTCCCAGTTGTCTTGCGGATGTGCAGGTAAATGAAATAGTGTCACGTTCTGCGCGCGAGCGAGCTTGCAAACTTCAATCGATAGGTGCGCCAACACGCCGAATAGAATAGCACTGATACCTTCCTCAAAGTACCCGGCGCAGACATGTGTAGATGAATTGGCTATGCCATGAATGTGGGCGTGTCCACTAAGGAGATGTGTAAAAAGCGTTCGACATGTACATTCGACGGGGGATCAGTCACCAAGTCTAAACCGTGGCGGTTATCCCTCGTATAACTGTTCCGGATGGGTATCGGTTGCAGCTGAAAATCCTGTCACACTAGACATTGCAAGCGTACGGATCTGGAATCGTCGACGTCACTTAACGGCTAGTAGTGACTGCGTCGGAGATCGTTTGCCTTAGTCGTACCGGAACTATGCCACTGCAGCGTACTCTTCGCACTGCACTCTCGTGCCCAAATTATGACTGACCTCCAGCTTGAGCTCGAGATTGCGTCCATCTATACCATGCCTGCGATCCTATTTGTTGCATGATCGGCGAGTTGCCACGAAGCCTTCACGTAGCTTCGTGTTCTGGATGGTCAGGGCTTATGTTCCTCCATCCAAGAAACCCTCAAGGATGCATAGCCGCATAGACTGTTCACTAGACCTTGACCAAGGCAGTGCATCGTTCTCATGGAGACAATCCCTTTGACGTCTGCAATCTCTTGTAGAAGAGCGCATTTGTCATTCAGAAGCTTACACTACGCGACTTATCCACCATGTATACACTGACGATGTCGAGACGATATGTAATTTCTCCAAGCGCTATTACTCTCGATTTCTTTGATAACCTTGTGAACAAGGGGCACGAAGGACGACTTGCCTCCAGCAACTGAAAGCGTGTCATGCGTTACCATCACTGCTATGACATTCCAGATGAGGGCTTACAACGTTTCGGCTGCCATTTCACGTGGAAGCCACTTAGCAGCATTCGTGTACTTCTTACACCTCTATAAAAACCTTCAATCACCAAGGACTAAGCCCAAGTTGTCGTGGCAGAATGAACAGCGTCACAAGTGTATTCACTTAAAACTCACACACACTTTTTCTCCATCCTTGTACTTCACCTGGCTGCAGTAAAATTAGCAGTACTGGCCTCAATGACGCCCATCCCGTAGATGACTCCGTAGACTCCTCTATCTCCACAGACGTCGAGTCAACTGGTCTTAGCGACAGCTGAGCTCATCTCCGTCTGCGTCGGGTCGTACGTGAACTTGCGGTAGAACTGCACGAGCCCCGTCCCAGCCATAAAGACGTTGACGGCAAACAAGTTCCAGTTTTGGGGCGTAATGACGGTGCTATAACGCGACCAGATGACGCCCGTGCACGTGACTGCCGTCTGCTGAGCCACTGAGATGGTTTCGGGCGAGCGCCGCATATCTGCGACATTGGCGAGGGAGATGGCCCACTTGATGGTAGGCGCCCAAAAGTGCACGGTAAAGGGACCGGCGGGATGTCCCAGCATGGCCGTGAGCTTCGGGCTGTTGGCCACGAGCTGGTGCTCCAAGACCTTTTGCTGGATACGGGGGACGATCGAAGGCAGGAGGACCATGACGCAATGACGATAGAGAGAAAGACAGAGAGGGAGGAGAAGATAAACACACACTCGAGATGGTGCTATGACAGTCGAAAAGCTGCTATGACGAAGCGGAGGCGAGGAAAATCGTTTTCGACGAATGAAAAGAGATGATGACGGGGACGGGTGTTACGTCGCGGGTTTTTTTAGGGGCATGAGTGTGATTGATTTGCGTGCGTGCTTTACGCTGTTTAATCGATTGATAAACTGCTTGGACTTGTGGATAATTGCAGAAGAGGGTGGATCCGCAATGCTTGCTTCAACCATGTAGCATAAAGATTCGAGTACAGTCAAACTTGCAGAGCACGTGTGCGGTATCGAGGGCACTGTTGGTGACTTACTTTAGAGTTTGCTCGGGCATAACAGCACGTTTACCGGACGTTTGGCGGAGGAATCTCCTGAGCACAAATGCACGCTGTTCTTTCGTCTTTTGCCGTCCAAACTCTCTCTTGTTGCAACAACGCTTATGCACCACTTGAGCCCGTCTACTTTCTTGCCTGTAGGATAATCACCAGCTTGCTCGCCACTACTCCAGAGCAACGGTTTCTTGATGCTAAAAACCAGAGCCGCATCACCACTTAAATAGATAGCCGAGCACCCGCGAACAAAAGTCCTGTCGGCGCGGCGGAGGCAGCATGATGTCAGCGTCAGTAGGATCAACCTCCAAGTCCCGCGATCCGAGGCTCTGATGTGCCTGTGCACCAAAGTAGCTCGACACAGGCTTATCGTCAAGCTCAGTGGCGTCTCTGTCTGACGGGTAGCACTTCTTCACACCGACCATGATGTTGCTAGCAAGTGTGCGTCCGTCGTAGCTGAGCGCCTTCTCCGCCTGTAGTCTAGTGTAGTAGCGAAGATGCAGCCAATTGCCACCGCTGCTACTCGAGTAGTTCACGACTTCACCGACGGACTGGAACTGGTGCAGGATAAAAGACCGAGCACTTGGAGGAAACCCAAACACCGTGACCCAATACTGTTTGTCCTGCCCCCACTCGTCACTGTGGACGTCCGGGTAGTACGAAGACCGCACTGCTGCGGCCCTACGTCTAGCCTCTACCATTGCTGCAGCCTCATCATCCTCCACGTTGTGAGACCCTGCAGCAAAGTCGCTGGGGTTTAGCAACGACATCGTCGGTGGAGGCGGTACATCTTCGTCCTGGACATCAGTCCCGTTACCAGCACGATGTGCCGACGCATTCTTGCGTCTGTGAGCCCCCAAATGGTTCGGGTAGCTGCCACCACAAGTGAACGGTGAGTCCTCGGGCACGTGGACGCTCTGCGGTTTGTCTCGGTTCATGGACAAGCTCTCGGCAAAGCTCAGCCGTTGTCCGGCTTTCGACGAGAGCACGTCCGCTTCGGAGCGGACACGAGGAGCGCTTACTTCGGACTCGTCCGTCTTGGGAGTTGACGGGAGAGCGGTCAGGAGAGACGGAAAGTATTCGTCATCTTGTGCTGTGGTGAGGGATCGACTGGGAGGCGGAAGAACGAGCACAGAAACGGAAGGGGGTGACAATGACAAGGTTAGAAGAGAGCAGTTGCTGGGACAGGGTCGTGGCTGTTGGGAGGTGCATTGCGTATATTGATGTACTGACCTCATGGGGAAGAGCGAGCGAGGCGTCTCAATAGTGAGGAAGGAACAGTCTCCTGGGATTCGGGTGCAAGTCGTTCTCGATCGGAAGAGCCACGACTTCCTCGGTGGTGAAGCAGGTTTTGTTAGCCAATCGTTTTTCTGGACTGGATTTGCTACGGCTTTTATTACTGGGTAGAGGTCGAGCTGATGTTAGGGAGGAGCTAGTGGCTGGAGTTTAGTCGTTCGGGCAGGTTGTCTACGTGTCGGTATGATGTGGTGTTTAGAGGGACATAAGATGCTGTGACAAGGCTCATATCTGATCATGGTGTTTGTACGAGCGGTAGTCAAAAGGACGAGCTTTTGTCATATGGTCTGTTGACAGGGTTCAAAATTTCGATTCGATCGATGTCGTCGCCCATGTTCGATATTAGCCCGACAGCCATCACCGATTGCGCAATGTTCCGGATCGACTTGTTATGACAAGACAGGCGCAGATCGTTTAGTTTCCGCGTGACGTCATAAGCGGCAACTGCCACCAACTGAAGAAATTGAGTGTGATGTTGTCTGATTCGATGATGGCAAATATGCGATGCCGATGGAAGTTCTTACTTGATGACCTAGCAACGAGCCGGCGTTTTCTGAGAAAATCACGCATCTATATATGTTACGGATACAAGAATACCAAGAGCCGCTGCACACTACTGCATTGGTAACGTGCAATGCTCCCATATATTGTATGAATCTTCCCTCTGCAACTTCGCGTCGTCACGCATGTCCTCGGCAATGCAGACGCAGCTTCCTTGGTACACAGCGATGCGAAGTCTAGCACATCAAGCAACCATTGCTTTTCCAGAAGTTAATGAGGCACTGCAAGTCGACATGGTGGGCATAATCTGCAGTGCCCACAACATCCACTCTTGCACGTTCAATGCGCGTGCGACACGCATCGTGCTATTCAACTCTACGTTGCTCATCGGCTTTTCTCCAGCTCGTAAGATACCATAGTTCAAGCGCCTCATCGCACCATTTATTCACAGTCCACTCGAGTTGAGTATTCAACATTTGGAGTGCAGATTGAGCCATTTAGTTCAACAATCACGTGCTGGCTGCAATTGGACTCTCGCTGCTGCCGACGACGATTGGACTCTTGCTGCTGCCGGACAGACTGTCAGTCGTCTACTTGGCGTAATGTGCTGTCAACAAAGTCTCAGCAAATTGTGGCGCCAAATCGCCACCCGATTCGCCAGAAAGGCGTGTTGCGACCATTCCGGCGCTCTCTGATTGGTCCGCAGTAACTCGCCGATCCGGTCGTTTCGCGTCCGCACGTTGGGTTTCAACCTCATTCGTAAGGTTTTTCCGCAAGCCGTGGTGGCCGTAGCTTTTCAGGCAGTGGTTCCGATCGGACATTCTGAAAACGACTGCATTCGCGTCACAAGTCCTGCCTGGAAACCTCTTTTTTACATTGAATACTTCCCCCCCGCAACTAGCACAATGGAAGTCGCCGGCGGAAAAGGAGACGCTGTGAAGGGCGCCAAGATCTTCAAGACCAAGTGTGCGCAGTGCCACACCACGGAGAGTGGCGCCGGCCACAAGCAGGGCCCCAACCTTCATGGCCTGATGGGCCGTCAGTCGGGTCGAGCTTCAGGCTATTCGTACTCAGCTGCCAACAAGAACTCGGGCATTGTCTGGACAGACGAGACGCTGTTTGATTACCTTCTTGCCCCCAAGAAGTACATCGTGGGCACCAAGATGGTGTTTGCCGGCCTGAAGAAGCCGCAGGAGCGTCGCGACCTGATCGCGTACCTGATCAAGTCCACGAGCCAATAAATCTGCAGTCGTGCAAGCCGATGATGTTTTTCTTGACGTCGATAGACGGTGCAGAGGTCTCCAACGATCGTAAAGAGGACGGGAGATGGGTGTGTGTCGGTTATTGTCGGCTGTGGAAGAGTTTCCTCGCCCTTTATTGAGCTTTTAGGACGTGGTCTCTTAGAATATATTTTGCAACCGTAAAGAACGTTCTTTTGGTCTTGATTTGCAACAGCCGAGTCGGTATTAGAATCTGTGACAAATACGTCACTGGCTTTTTTTGAGCAATTGGTCGTAGCAAGTGTGTTTGGCTGTAGTCAATTGTTGACATAAAAAGAATTTATATGCTTAAAAACAGGAAAATAAAAAGTGCCCCAAATAATTAGAAAATTGTAAAATGCTCAAATAATTAAAAAATTAAACAGTTAGTGGAGCAAGCTCAGGAGCTCGCGCTTTAATCGCGAGCCCGAAGGGTGAAGCTATTAGTGAGTGTGCGCGAGGTTGAATGCCGAATTCTAAATCATGCTTAGATCCGTGTGTTCGTGTTTGCATCTGTCTGTCCGTCCTTTCCGTGGGGCTTTTATCTTCTAATCATCTGGGGCGTTTCTTTATTTTCGTGATTAAATGGGGCGTTATTTTATTTTCCCCTAAAGATAACCACATCGTTTCGGAATCAGAATGCGCTTTTTTCCCAAATACTTTTTGTTCATGGTTGTGGGTTTGTCCTTTCTAGAAAGTGTAGAGCTACAAATGAAGCAGAACAGGGTGAGAATAGGTAGGTGGCTCTAATGGTGCACCAAGTCCGTTGCGCCGACCGCGTGACGAATAATACAAACCGCTTAGAGATGGAACTTTCGGCGCGACGTATCGAGCTGGTGCTGCTTGTGGATCCACTCGAACTCGCCAAACTTCGTGTCGAACGTGCCCTGCTGCAACCAGCGCAGCTTTAGTGTAAACCGCGGCCCGATCTCTTGCAAACGCGCCTTCTTCTCGTTCTCAAACGTATACCGGTGGTGCCGTACAAAGATAAAGTCGCGCTGGTTGTGGAACGTCACGACCTGGTGACCTTCGAACTCAGGCTGGTGCTCAAACAGCGAGCCCAGGAACCGACCCACGCGGTGGCCCAGACGCGTGGAAAAGTTGTTCAGAATCAGCTCGGGTTGATGGTCCGTGCGTCGACCTCGTTCCTTGATGCTCTCGGTCAATTTCACGTTCGACACTTTGAAGAACGCCGTCGGACCTTCTGGTAATCGGCTCACTAGCATGCTACAGATCGAGAACGACAAGAACAACATCAACAACATGGATATTACCAGATTCATCTTTAGCATCGCATCCTTCAATCTTGCAGTCATTAGCAACGTACCCGTTACAGATCTTGCTCTTCTCCGAGAGCACAACCAAGTGCGTAAACTTCTTGTTACAGGCAAACTGCACAATCTCTTTGATGTCAAACGTGCCTCGTTTGTAGTAAAACGAGTTCGGCAACAGATCCAGGAGGTCGTGGATAAAGTGGTAGAGGTCGCCCGATGGAAACGGGCGGGTCGTGATCATGAGCTTGGGCGCTTCTTCATTGGCAAAGATGCGGGCGAACTCGTCGTCGCGCTCGTCAGCATCGACCTCTTCGTCGCCGTCAGGACTGACCATCGTCACCTCCTGCTCCCGAGTGTTGTCAATGGTGCGCGGCTCCATCTTGGGCGCCGCGTCTTCGCCCATCTCCTCCGCCTCCCGTCGACGCTTGAGCTGCGTCGCCTTCTTGGCCTCTTTCTTCTCCTTGCGGTACTTTTGCATCACGAGCTGGCGCTTCATTTTATTCTTAATGTGCGACGGATTGCGCCGTTCAAGGACCGGCTTGCCATCAACCAGTGTACCCATTTTACCGTCATCGTGTCCGTCGTCATCGTCGCGCTTTGCCTCTCGCTTGGTCCGAGGTCCCATTTGTGCTCGCAGGAATAGAGACGACTCAGATGTGTAGGTGACGGTGTCTTCAGGTTATCGTCACTGGAAGCGGTATTCCTATCGGGGTCCCTTCAACCAACTGACTGACTGACTGACTGACTGACTGGTGCACAGAGTCTGGAGCGAAACGACCTGCGCGATTCGGAATTAGCGCGGAAACAAGCAGCAATAACGTCAATCGGAGCTCTAATTCACCCGCTGTAATTCTAATTAGCGTCGTCGTTAGGGCCAAACACCGTAAACATGCGCGAGGACTTGGTCGAGAATGGACTCAAGTTCCTGCAGCACCCGAGCGTTCAGGTACGTGCGCGTCCTGAGAGTCCTTTGCTATACATTCTTCAAGTCACTGCTCACTATTGTCCGTGCGTGGGTGTGTCCAGTCGACGCCCCTGTCCGAGCGTGTGTCGTTTCTGGAAGGCAAAGGTATGACTAAAGAGGAGATTCAAGCGGCTATTGACCGCCACCAGAAGAGCGGGGCAGCTGCAGAAGGGACGCAATTGCCAGAGAATCCAATGCACCGCCAAGGAGGAACAGCTCCCGGGATGATGACGACGGCAGCTGTGCCAATGCAGCAGATGATGTCGCCCAGTGCCCACTATCCGGCTTATGTTCGCGTGCTCTGGACGGTGTCGTCCCTCATTGGTGCAGCTTCAATTGTCACGTTCATTTGGAACTACGCCGTTGGGTTGGGGTATATTCCGTGGCTGGTACGTCACGTTTGACATGTCGTGCGTGTGTGTCTCGATAAAGAGTGCTGACATGGTGTTCTAGCGGCCGACGCCATTGTTGTTGGAGGCAGAAGCAGTGCAGGCGGAAAAAGAGAAAGAAGCCGAGAAAGATGAAGCGCTTCTGGCTGAGCTGTCGAGTGTAGCAGCAGCTATCCAAGAGCAGACGAGAGAACTGGCCAAATTGACAGTGTTGTTGGATGAGAAGGAGCGTAGTTTACAGAACAAGACGCTGTTGAATGCCCATGTTAACAGCACACTACGTGAGCACGGCAACGCGCAGTCGATTGCTGAGTTAAAGGCTGAGGTATCGACGCTGAAAGCGTTGTTGCTTGCAAAAAGGACGAAGAGCACCAGTGACTTGGATACAAATGTGGACGAAACGAGCGAAGATACAAGTAGAGAAAGCGTTTTGGCTGCGGAAGCTACCACTCGCTTGACTCCAGTTGTAGACAGACGACAGCAGCAGCAGCAGCCTGCTGTGGTTTCCCAGGCAGTGCGTAAGGCGGAGCTTATGCAAAACGCGTTGAAAAAGCTTCGAATGGAGGTAAGATTTACACGTCCTGCTTGGACTCGCGCTAAATGATGACTGAAAGGATGCTTTTTGATGCAGAACTCGCTGGAACAACTCAAGTCGGCAGCGGGCATTCTTAGTATGTACGTCAAGAATCTCGTCGAGGTAACGCCACATATTGTGCTTTCCAGGTCGATCTTATGGATACGGGACAGTTCACATTGCTCGATGTGCATGTAGAATCCTGACGTGCCCCGTTATCGCCGGATCGCTCCTGGCAACGCGAACTTCAAGCAAAAGATCGAGCCGCTCAAGGTACGTCCTACCCGCTTCGACTCCAGACACACGAAGCGTAGTGTGTTGTACTAATGCATTCGATTGTCTGCCGTGCAGCATCATGGGGAGCTTCTCAAATCAATCGGGTTCGAGACAGTAGGTCTCAATCTGGAGTGGAAATGGCACGCGGCGAGCAAATCGACCGGAGTGTTCGATGAGAACATCGCTATTCTGCGTGCACTGCTGAAGGCTCTTCAGTCGCTTGCGAGTGCGGACGCCTCTTCAAATCTGTCACTCGAGGAAATTGCACACGCGAGTCTGGAAGATTTCTATGCTCAGCAGGAAAAGAAGAAGACAGAGGCGTCCGCAATGAACAGTGCGATTGCAACTAGTGTCGGTGACTCCGACCTTGTCGAGGAGATATGCTCGGCGACGCCGACTGATGGGATATCCGGTAGAAACCGCGTGTCGTCAGACTCCACGTCCACGAATTTCGATGCGTTCATGGCACGTCTGGAACAACAGACCTGCGTGAGCAGTACCACCAACAAAGCCGATGGTCTTGAGGCGGACAATATTCCAGTCTCGTCTAGATCAAAGTCTGAAGGCGGCGACGAGAAGATGCTTGACTCAGCAACCAGTTCGACTGTAACGGATAGTGGGCCGTCGTACCCGAAGTCATTCAAGGACGTGGTGGATTGCATTCAGAAGGGCGAGACGGTACCCGGTATCCGTGACATTGAGGAAAAGCTGTCTATAGATGCGAGTGAGCTGCTGCGAGATCGAGTGAAGGCTGGTGAGGCGACTGCATCCAAGCCTTGGGAGACCCTTAGGGCATAAATAGTAAGTACCGCCAGTGTTGTTGAAGTTCCGACATGTGGAGGGGATCAATGTACTCACCCGTGTAGGTTTTACGTATCGATGCTGTGCGAAGATATCAAAGTCATCGATTTTAAGGCCCAAACGCTTCGTGCATCCAACGTATCGGTCGGTCAGATCGAGTGCGTTTATTACGGTATTCGTATCTAGTCCGACGACATGCATGAAATTTATGACGACAAATGACGATGATACGCAACATTTGACTTGGATTCGGTGGAACGACCTGCCAGGATATTTGTAAGGTTGTTGCAATGTTTGTGCCTAGTAGATTGACTGCGTCTCTCTCTCTCTGTAAGATCAAAAGAAGGGCCAGTTCTGGCCGATCGAGTTCTGCTATGAAATGTCTACTTCAAAGTTCTCTTCAGATCCGATTTTACGACAAATCGACTTTGGCGGGTCCTCCTGAGCGAAAACGGATTGCCAGTGCAGTTCTGAAAAAGAAAAGTGAGTCACGCAGGCGAGCGAGTGATCCGTGTACAATCGCGACTAAATGTGTCACACACAAAACGTGTACGTTGCTGCTAGTGCAGCACAGACGTGGTGGTGTCTTGCGGTGTTTCATTCCACTTGTCGTCTGTCTGTTTTGTGTTTCTATCTGTGTGTCCCCAGCAGCTCCCGAGAAGTTGAAGGCTGTCCACGATGACAGGACACTGTATTTGCAGGTTGGATGACTAGCAGAGATGTGAGCTGGCTGAGAGAGGGCTACATGAGGGGGAGTGGGCTCAGTGAGAAGACACAGAGAGGACTGCAGATGTGCTCTGCTTCGTTTGAGCTCAAGTGTCCAGTTGTAGCCGGGATTAAGTTGTGGCTGAGAAGAAGAACTGGAGAGGCGGCCACGTCTTTCACAGCAGGTGCGTTTGCTGCGGGTTTAAATATGTTTTTATTATCGGGTTTTATCGCTTTTCTACTTTTTCTAGTTTGTTGGCAGCTTCTCGAGCGCCGGGGCTGGGGCTTGAGCGGGTTGTGTCGTATATAGCCGCCGGCCCGTGCGCAGGCAGAGCGTCGCCACTTGGCGGATGAGCTCACGCAGCCGTCTTCCTAGCAACGCAACTCTCGAGCGCGGGCAAAACCAGCACGGCCGGCACTCCAGCTCACTCGCGTTGCGGCTTCTTCTTACAAGCAGCACCTAAACTTTTTTTCAGAACCAAACGTGCTTTCAGCGTCCTTACCACGCTTGCGAGCTAGCCTTCCAGTAGTGCTCGCCACTCGCATCGCTGCTGTGCTTCCCAACAACTTGTCAGCACTTGAACTATCGTTGGCAACAGAGAAGCTGTCCAGCAGCGATGCGGGCGTCGCAGGAAGCTGCACTGTCTCGCGCGGGCTCTCCACACTGACCTTGACATGCGGCTTCACGTCGTGGTCAAAGTCGTGGTCGTACGGTGAACGGCCTTGGCTGCCGCCACATTCCGGAGACGTCACGCACACGGCGGAGTCCATCGGCGAGGAGACCATTGGAGACGACTGCTCGTGCTCCACGGCATCTAGCTCAGCGAACGAAGCTGGGCTTTCGACCAGCTTGGGCGGGTGGAAAGCATAGACTAACTTTGAGAGGCCCGCCGCAAGAACGTTCGTTTTGATGTACGGCGCCATGTAAGCGTTGAGCAAGTAGCGGGCCGCATCTAGACAAACGGGAGAACACAGCTTTGTTTAAACATTGCCAGCACCCACAACACAAGAGAACAATGTTCACAAGCAGCCAATATACCTTGCAAGGTATGAAGTGGAGTTGCCAACACACTCCACCATGGCTCACCCTTAGCTGTACACAGGTCTTCAGGCACGTAACCCTCATAGAGTCCGGCCAAATACACCGCACCGGCTGCCAGATCGACCGACTCCAGGCGCAAACACGCAACCGTGTACGCACTGTCGTTCAAAAACGACCAGGCCACCTGTTTGATCTTACTGCTCTGGACCTTGGCTGTGTTTTCATTCAGTTGCTGCAAGCGCACCACCTTGTCCACCTTCTCGTTAATGTACTTGTACGGATGTGACAGCGTCAGCTCGTACGCCAAATTGTGCAGCAGAATGCCCTCCATCGAGATGATCTTGCCTGCAATCACCTGCGGGTCGTGTTTCTGGATAGCAAACACCTGATCCTTCTCCACGACTTTCCGGACAGCAATGTACGCCTTGGCTACATGGCCAATCTTCTTAGGACTTTCTTCGGCCTTGGAGCCCAATAGCACGCACGACGCAGCGACCAAGTACTTGTCGTAGCGCACGAGCGACTGGCGCATGTAAAAGCGATGGAAGAAGTTGTCGGCACTAATTTGAGCGAGCTTCGGCATGTCCAGGGGTTTCGCCATCTTCTCGACAAAGTCACAGGCGTCGCGACGCAGCACGAGCTCGTCCGTGTACTTCATGCCGTCGCGCTGGGACGGCGTCGAGCGCAATTCTTCTGCTGTGAAAATCCAGTCGCTGGTTGTCGTCATGCTTGTGGTCTGGTTGTATGTGTGTGTGTAATTGTATGCAAAGGCCAAGAGGTCGAATGGGGTACGATCGAGTAACCTGTCGCTCTAAGGGTACACGAAACACGACAGGTCAGTGTGACCGTTTCTTTGTATTTAGTAACAGAGGTTCCAATTTACCTGTCAAAAATAATATTCTCCAACTGCCTCTCGACTGGTCGAACTGCTCGCGGCTTTCGCTTGCGCGTGGTTCGTGGCAAGACGCTGCGACTGCTGATCCCTGTGCTGTTGTCTGAATCTCCTGTGTATCGGCGTGTCGTAGCGGGAGCTTCTTACGAGCCTGCGGGACCTCCAAGTCAGTCGCGGTCACGAAGGCGTCAGGGCAGCGGCGACTCTTCTCGAAACGCGCGATTCGGGAATTCCCCTATTTCACTGCCACGTGGCTTTTCTCCGTTTTTATCCAATCGAAATGGAGAAAGGGTGGAAAACGAGCGGTTGAAAGTGCGACGTCTCGTGTTTTGAATGGACGGAGCGAAACGGCTCTCAGGAGTGATGGCATCTGATCTTGATCTTAGATTGGGTATGGTCATACCCTCGGGAAGGTGGTAGAGAACGTTCCAGATCATCTGGGCGGAAAACGCAGACCAGACTTCATTGGACTTCTACGCGTTTCTTGGTTGTGATAATCTATATATATTGGTTTTAGGAGGGTAAAGGAATTCTATTTATAGTAGACACACTCTGCGAGCTCTAAAAACTGGCATTCTAAACGCTGGCTCCATTTTAGAAATATGCTGGCATTTTGTTGCTTAAAATGGTTTGGTCACCTCTCCTCGTGCACGTCCATTCTGCCAGGTCACCTCACTGCTGCCTTTTTAGAGCCCGATCAGGCGATCTTTTAGTACAGTTTGCTTGAAATTACTTGGTGGGCCAGCGTTGTGCGCTACTCCTTTGTGAGGTACAGGAGAGTCTCGAAAGAATGGCAAGCACCTTCTCGGCATACTGAAGCTCGAAGTTACAACAAAATATGCTACAATGTCCTCCAATCTGTTCCTCTAGCCTTTACGTACCCGTGGTACCCCTGTTTCATGTCAATGCATGGTCGCAGTACGTAACCGTTGTACCTGAAAAGGAGCTGTGTTGGCATGAATGGCGAGTGCAGCGTCCAACTTTTGCTTTGCAAGTACAAGGTCTGCTTGACAGTTTATTTCCTATGAATTCAGTTGAAGATAGAGGCGGTGACAACCCCATGACAGTGCGCCACCCATCCGTTGGCACGGGTACATCGATTAAACTTTACAAGACAGATGAGTCCCGAAGATATGATCAATACGACAATGCAGCGAGTAACTGAGCGGTATCAGGACGCGAAGTTGTATCAGATTCGACTATTATGCACGGAGGGTTATTCAGACGTGTGTGCCGTTTTGATCGAGATCTGTTGGAGACCCCGTTTACGATAATATCGTAATGTCGAGTCGTAATTTATTCCACGGTGGGGGTTCGAAGGATGAGAAAAACGTGTTATTCGAGTAGGTAGGCTACTAAAATACAATTAAATAGAGAGATTTAACTCATTAGGTTTTACATTTACAAACGAGTGGAAGATAACCTGCATGCAGTTTTAACAGCAAAAGAAGTAAAAACCAGGTTAATCGAACGGACCGGATGTGCATATCATTCAAGTGGAAATTCTCAGGTGAGCGAGAAATGGGAAACTAGTGGGCATGGCTACTTTCTGCTATTCGATGTGTAGACTTGTGCACACGAGGACTTTCTGTGATTTGTTCATTAGAGTAGGGGATAGACTTGCAGGCGGTCACAGACGATGATGTGAAGAAAGCAGTGCAAAAGCTCAATTAGTCAAGGAAGCGTTTTTAACTTACTGACATGAAACTGGTGATACTTAGGTCGGCTGTAGCTCTGGCTGTATCTGCGAAAGTAGGGAGAAGTCGAGGACGCTGACTCGGTTTCCGTACCTTTTTGTAGTGGAACGGTGCATGCAGTACTGAGTCAGGACCACTCTGCGGTCCTAGCCTTGGCATAGTTTACAATTGAATGCTTACGTCACAGGCTTGGTTAACAGTGGACGTGCGGTTGATAGATTTTGAGCGTGATTTTGTGCTGTGTTATGTCAACTACAAAATACGAGGTGTGAATCCAAGCATCTTGTACTCAAGTTACTGATGAGGTCTCAATCAATATACATTTCAAGCTGTGTAGATCATGGCATCTCATACTGAGGTTAAGCTGTAGCTATCGATCTGATCAGACACATCTCGCTTGTTGTGTTTCCATGTTCCTCGTGTCTGTTGCAGCACGACTGAGCATTTGATATGCAATCTTGTGGGTAGGTTCACGGGCGTTATAATCGAAACAGAGGTATTTGTCTGCGTATGTGCAATCACTGCGATACTGTTAGGAGCATGTTCTTTTTAAATGTAGGACTGTAGGTCCAGATTTTTGGCTTATAATGGATAAGACAGAGAGCTCTTCCTATATTTGGGGGCCCGACTGCATCGACCACAAACCCATTTATATAATGACGAGATTGGGAGGACAACTTGGTCGCAACGTCACCGAAGATATATGCATATTAAAGACATGACTGTAAACATTGGGATTGAATGCTATGCCAACTTGGCAGGCCTGAGCAATGTCCAGGAGGAGTGATCATCCGACTTGTAAAGTCTCAGGTGACAGACAGTGATCGCTTACAGTCGATCAAAGGTGATTATGACCACAGAAGCAATTGCCAGACGCTCATAAGCAAGGGCTGATCGCGTTGCATGAGTATACTTCGGGGTTAATTTCGACACGAACGGCATTATACTCCTTTCTTCAGTGACTGCTGTTGACTAGTGTTTATGCAACTTAATTCAGTTCATTGTACTGAATTAGTTCGATTAAAGGGCGAGCTCCGGAGCTTGCTCCCGTTTCTTAAACAAGTACAAAAAGTCGACCGACGCTCGAACATCCCACGCTTGAACCCTATCCCACCTCCTCATTAGTCGCGGGTATCCATCTATAATTTCAGCCAATCAACAGTCTCTCAAACCCACTTGGTCATCATGGACACAGCACCTGCATCGGCGCCCACCGCCGGCGCTTCGTCGCCCTTAACGTCCAGTCCGCGCGCACAAGCGTCTACTCACGCACTCGTATCTGCCGCAGCGGCTTCTTCTGATGCAGCAGCCGGATCAGTGCTTCCACGAAGGATCCATTCCGAGCGTGACGACGTCGAGACCGCGACCAATCGGCGGCGGCGTCTTCAGCAGCAGCGCTGTAATTACTCGGTCAAGAAGAAGCGCGAGCTCATTGCGCTAGCGCAAGTCGCAGGGGTGCGAGAAGTGTGTCGCATGGAGGGCATTCCCCGTCGCACGCTTCGCCATTGGCTTGACGACGCCGAGAAGATCAACAGCTTTGAAGGACCAGAGTCGAGGAAGTCCATTGGGCGCTCGGGCCGGCGCGAGCTGCTGCCGTTCGGACGGGAACTCACGACGTTCTTATTGGACGGACGTCTTGACGGACGTGAGGTGACGTCGTCGCACATGATTGGCTACATTCGAGAGCACCATCAACCGTGGCTGGACAAGTACTTGGCCGACAAAAAGAGCGCCGAGAGCGGCCAAGCAGCCCTCACGAGACTCTGTCAGCGGTTCGTTGAGCGGCATGGATTTACGCAGACTGGCAGTGCAATGCGGGGTCGAGATGCAGGGACAGGGACAGACACGGAGAATTCAAACGTCACATTTCAGGTCAAAACGGAGACAGAAAGTGAAAAAGATTGCGGAATCGCTGATTCAGCCACACCGAAAGTCATGTGTACAAACATTAGTGATGATCATGGTGAAGACGACAGCCCGCTGCTGTGTGGACTTGATATTGGCACAACTGCCGTCAAGTGTGTGTTAGTGAAGATTGATGATGGCGGCAAAGCTGTCGGCACTGTGGCTGTCGCCAGCGTCCCGCTCAGTGATGTGTTGAGTAAACCGACTGGGTTAGATGGAGAAGCCAGGGTCCAAGAGCTTGGCGTTCAAAACGTGGACCAGGTGCTGTTGGCAGTGCAGCGTGCAGTGATGCTGCTGCCAGCGATGGAAAGACGACGAGTCACGTCAGTTGGTATTTGTGGCCAAATGCACGGAATCGTGTGGTGGCGTAGTTGTTCTGTACATGAAGCGGCGGAACGTGTGTTGGCAGCAGACGACAGTAAGCTACAGCAACAAGATGACGCTTCTGACGAGTGTGCATGGAGCGAGCTTATTACGTGGCAAGATCAACGCTGCACGCCTTCGTTCTTGGATAGCTGTCGGGAAAAGATTGCCCATACTAACGCCCCCGGCGGTTCTTCCGCGTTCAGTCCGATCGCTGCTGGCTACGGATTGGCCACCTTCGCACACACGCTGGAACACTCTCCACGCACGTTAGTGGGTATGGACGCGTGTGGGACAATTCACGATTTTGTGGCTTTCGTTCTGTGTGGCCATACGCTTCCAAGCGAAGTCTGTATGGATACCACTGATGCTTACAGTTGGGGTGGCTTCGGTTTACAAACTCAGACATGGGACTCCAGCGTGCTGCACGCCTTACAGGTTCCGTCATCAATGCTACCTGCCGTAAAGAAGCCAGGCACTTGCGTTGGTCATACCTCTCCAGGACTTTCTGGCTTCGGCTTGCCCGATAACAAGCCTGTGTTTGTGCCAATGGGTGATCATCCATGCTCTGTGCTGGCCGCTTTGGCACACCGCCAGGCAGCTTCGGGCAGCGATGGGAACTTAACGTGTACGTTGCGTTGTCGATGATTGGATGGGCTTATTATCTGATTGCGCGATTAGCACTAAGCTTCATATGTGGAACATGCTTGCTTTTATTCTGTAGTGGTTAATGTCGGTACATCGGCTCAGGTGGCTTTAGTACTGGCAAGTGCAGATGTCGCAAAATTCTCTTCATGCTTCAATCACGAGTCCAGCGTTAGTGATGTCTGCGATAACTCTACTTTCGAAGTACGACCATTCCTATTCGAGGACCGCTATGTGGGCGTGGCAGCCTCGCTTTCCGGGTGCGTCCAATTTGCCTTAAGTGATCAATTACTAATTCCGGCTTGTTCCGCTAACTGTGTGGTACGGCACGTGCAGCGGCAACGCGTTTGCGTGGCTGGTGCAGCAATGGCAGCTATGGGCTAAAGATATGGGTCTTGCTCCAGAGTGCAACGACTATACTGTAGCGCAAGCGGCCCAGCGCGAAGCTGAAGTCTACGCTCGACTGATCGAGCTGGGATTGCAGCGAAAAAACACCGAGTTGACATTTGTGCCGACGATCAACGGCGAGCGTGCAAACCCCGGTGCCACTGGCAGCATCTTGAATCTGCGGATGAACAATTGGAGCATGGGCGACATAAGCGCGGCATTGGCTCGTGGCCTTGTAGACAACCTCTTTGCCATGATTCCCACGGAGCTGCGACAGCTGGTGGCCTTGCAACCGTACGTTCGACCGTGATGTAGCTGTTTCTCAGCCTATCCCGTGCTGACTAGCTTTGGTTTAACCAACAGGATGATCGGTACGGGTAACGCGCTTGTGCGCAACGGACTGCTGCAGCACTTCCTCCTGCGGCACTTGGATGAGCCGTCGTATCTTCAGCTGCAGACCGCCACGGATGCTGCCGTGGGCGCGGCGCTGGCCCCGTTGCTCGTATCTGGTACTCCGGTCATGCTTGACTCGTTGCGTGGCCTGGAAAAGAGTCGCACTGAAGAGGGCTCTGTCGTGAATAATGCGCCTCACTGAGGTGATTTGGTGAGTTGTCGAGTTCAGGTATGCACTGCTTGTATTCCGGTAACTGCCTCAGACTTCGAGCATGCACAGAGCAGTAGGCGCGGGTGAAGGTCGATGCAGCTGTTGATCCGTCGGAGAGAGCTGGCTCAAACGTGGACGTCCTTGGGTGGACGCTTGGAAGGGACAGGACTCGTCAAAGTACCAGCCACGCTCTTCTGCCTGACGCATTATGTGTCGAAGTTACGTGAAAACTGACGCGTGGGTAATGGCTACAAACTTGGAGGCGCATGTGCTGCTGCAATCAAAACGGATTATACCCCACAAATGTGACAGCTCGGCGACGTGTTGCATTCACAAGAGAGCCGTGGATCATCCAAATGAGCAAAGATAAGCGCTGTTAACGTTGCGGTAAGACAAGATACTTGAAGTGGCGTGATTGACATAATCTGATTCGTCAGTGTGAGCAGGAGCATACGTCAGTAAAGTATAGATTCGAACGGATGTAGATGCTACACGGTGTTTCTAGATTGGCGCTGAATTTGTTCTTAAATCCTGCCATGTCTTACCAAGATGCTTAAGATGGGTTTTAGATGTACGGTCAGCATTTTTCTTTCGACCTCCTCGGTGAGTAGGTGCATGAAATCGCTGGTGCAACAGACTGACACGAGCGACGCCCCAACGTCCGTCTTTAAGCTAATGTTGGGCGCCGTCCCTATTACCGAAGCAGGATCTGCGCACGGATGACAGAAGTCGTACAACTACCGTGCTAGTCTACGTAAAAGGTGTTAGTACTTTGCATGATTGGCAATAGTCAGCTCATTGCGTTATTGAGGCAGTGGGTTTCTGTAGCGACTTCAAACTGCATGACTGGGCGGAAAGAAATAGACCCGTGCGAAAACTGTCATGTGTTCATTGCGTTTGTTTGCTCAAACACATCACCCTAGACCGGGTTTACATGACTAGATATCTTACCTTTCACGAGAACGACCTAGGATGAACGCAAAGACAGGAAGAAGATTGCAAGTATGTGTCATCTGGCAAGTGCGGACGCGTATACTAGCCTTTCGTTTTTCTTAACTTTTACCGCACACAGACACAAGGATGATTCGCAATGATCAGCCTGTACTGTCTGCGGTGTCATCTATCGTCGTATGGTCCGCAACGGCTAAGGTTCTCTCGATGTCCAGCAACAAATCGTCGCCTATTCTGCGTCGTTAGCTAATGCGGAAGATCTTGCTAGATGCTGTAACTTGGTAAGGAAAAATCAACCAAAACGGATGCAACTTCAGTATAAGGTGCCCGCCACCCATCCTTTTACGAAAGGCCTTGTTGTGACGATAAGGACGCAAGCATCCAAAACGATTCCTAGTTTACATGTACAGGTTGGAACCTATCGAAGACTGACCTGCTCACCACCGACAAGGATGGATGCACAACAAGAATAAAATTGAGGTACCTGCGAGGAAAAAGTGTTGCGGAGAACAATTTGACCATACAAGGCCTGGAAATCAAACATTGACTACACACTGGTCTGTTTCGCTCATCCTGATACAATGGCAGTGTTGTAGGAAGTGAATGTAATCTAGTTTGCATGATGTCTGACAGTCGAATTTAGCGGCCCTCTAGTGCAATGCTCTATGTAGATCATCAAGCACTACACGCTTCTGGTGTGGACAGCCATGTTGAATTTTCAGGCACTAGCATGTGTGGTTGCACTGACATACTATAGTCGCGATTGACGATGTGGCAGTTTCGCAATGTGTAGGCTATTGCGACTGTCATCCGAAAGCAAATTCGCTAGAACTGCCGTGCATCCGCCGCTCTATCCGCGGATGCACACTCGATGCGAATTGCCTGATTCTTTGATCGACTTGACAACTATGCTTCAGCTCGGAATTTTAACTAATGCGCACATCAACAGAAAATAGCTGCAAAGCTTACGCATCTTACGAAGCATTCTGTCCATCTTGTCTTTCGTTGTGCCAACGAAAAAAAGTAGCCTCAGTGATGGCTGCAGAGCACACAATGCAAGAGTAGCTGAGTAGCTGCACGGAATCACGTACTGATTTCCCAGCCTAAGATCCTTTTCTGCTTAGTAAAAAGCACATGTGACTTTCTTGACATCAAGAAGTTGGTCTACAAGGATAAATGAGTATTCTTCTTTACGGAACAGACCTTTTGTTCGCAGCTTAGTCTGCATGATTCAGCGGCGCCGTTGGATGCCGCAGCGGCCGGCATTTTAGTGAACTCGTACTTTTTCTTCTTCTTACACTCAATTTGAATCCGCTTATGTTGTTACTGCAGAAATTTTGCATGGATTCGCTCATCAAGTTCGCATGAATACGTGAAAATGGATAATGCGCTCATCCGCTGAACCTTGACCGCTCGTCTAACGTGCCACAGCTGCACGTCTTATACCTGGAAGACGCAGCACTCCCTGATTATATTGTTCGTCTCTCAATATAATCTACTTATTAAAATTCGATTATCTGCTGAGGTACAAATGCTTTACACGCCGGCGTAAGCCCGTGCACATATACCAAGCGTTTAATCGAAAGTGAGTCTTGATCGAACGAATGACTGCTGTCAAAAGAGGCCTCACTTTTTCTCCTATGACATCCTTGGCAATAGCTTGCCTTAAACAAGTCATAAATAGGTGCTGGATTCTATCACAACTTCACAGAGTCGCTCCAATCGCCCTGTAGCGTGTTTTAGCAAATGCCAACTAGGCTGGGTAAAACAATGCAGTCTAACATGTTTCTTTACTTCCTGTCATTTTATCAGTGAGCGAGGCGCTGAAACAAAATGGCATCAAGAATGTGTCCATCTTCTTCGTGTATCGTGTAATGAAATTAAAGTAAATAGCACAAGGGCGGCGCCGATCCCTTTCAGATCGACTCAACTTGTACATAATGCATGCACACTTGTAGATACTTACGGAGATGTCGGGGTGCTACTGACAAAATCAAGAAGACATAAAGGCCTGTTGTATTGCGTATGCCCGTTCTTACTACCATGCAGAGTATTAGCTTGTGGTTAGCATTGCAAAAATGGTGCTCAGGTGTCTGCTAGGATTGAGTAATCTTGTGCAAATGCGCAAGCTTGAATGCTATCATATCGTAGTACACAGATTAAATTAGCAGGACTCTTCTGCAAATTGTAAGGGGCTGCCGATCAAGGAGCACTGATGATGATGCAGCAGACAAACATAACCAATGTCAGGATGCATCTGCTTGGTCGGGACACGACACGCTTTCTTGGACAGAAAATACCATTTCAGATAGATCAATGAAGCGTTTGAGTAGTCAATATCTCTTTCAAGAACTACTAAATTTCACCACAAATTTGCATTTTACACCACAGCATCCACAATTGCACCCCTAATAATCTTGAAACACACCACAGTCCTATTTGACCTTACTGCACAGCAGTCATGAACATATATGCCTACTGTATAGAAGGAAGCCTGGCGATCAGTGTAGCTCAAATATATCTATATATCCAAAAAGCCAGGTACACAGCGGCCTTCCAGTGCCCCTTAGTTTTGTAGATATTCATGAGGACAGCTTTCAGCAGCCAGGTGAACATTCAGAACACCAACACCAGCGATGGTGTTAACACTGTATCTGCTGCCATCATCAGATAATCAGCTTCAATAAGGGACAGCAAACGAAGTGCTGGAAAAATCGTGTGCAGTGTATGCATGACCCTTTCGTGCGATTGTACTGCAAGTAAATAGAGCGATCAACGTCATGTTGCAACTTAATTTAGGCGTTAAATTAAACCTCGCTTGTTTGCTAAATACCGCCATTAAAAACGCTTTATGTTTTTGTGCGATAAAATCGGTTCTTCACTTTTGCGGGACCCGATTCGTGCGGCAGAGGTGGCTACGACACAAATTGTCCTCTTTTTCTTCATCTTTATCGTGATAGTAAACATTCGCTTCTCAAGATGCTCGTGGAAGATTGGCATGAGACGCGTTGTAGCTATCCAACTATCAATTAATGTCAACGAGCGCATCTGAGAGGTAATTGACGTAGGTGAGAGCACCACCACTATACGGCAACGCACCGGTTTTCATCATTGTGGCCAAGTACTTTTGGTATGTTTGACATAATGAGGACCAAGGCCTGCATGCGTCAAGGCGGCGGTTGACTTGACCGACGACCATAGGATCACAATCCAGATCATTTTAGGACCTGTTATTCGTGTGTACTGCATGCAACGTGCTTCGTTTCTGAAGGGTTATTCAAACTGAGATAACACCTTGCGGTATGACGATGACTCCATCATCCTTTGCACGCCGTCGTTAGTTATGGAAGGACATGTGTTCCGCCTGGTGAACTTTTCAGAGCCACATGGATATATATTGCCATTTTATGAATAACGGTTGAGCGTTTCGTAATGTACATTTCTTTACTTGCAGGCACCCACGTAGTCGAGGCCAATGATCATCAGTCGTGATTTCAGAATACGACCTCGTGTGTCTTTTGATGCATAAGATGTCATCCCTTCTTTGTGTCATAAAATGGAAAACATGGGCTACATATCCAAAGTCTGTAATTTCCATATCAAGATGGATACTTTCCTCCAGCTCATCACACCGTTAAGCGTGTTATCTCGTTTTAAGTTATCAGCACCGAGTGTGGGATTTTTGATCTTGTTTCGGGCGAGGCTATTACGTACTTTGGAATTTGCTATTCCGTACTGCAAACACCGTCAAACGAATTTACGAACAGCTAATTAGCTTAATAGTCAACTTAATCTGTATTATGCTATAAAGAATGTCAGAGGTGCGGAGATTAAAAAACTTCCATTGACTGAATTTAGGTCCTTCAATGTCACCCTTTACACGATCTATATCTAACTCTCATAGTGCAGCTGACCAAGAGCTTCCATTGACTGTATTTAGGTCCCTGAATGTCACCTTTTTTACACGAGCTATCTATAACTCTTATAGTGCAGCTGACCACACCACATTCATGTGTTTTTGTCCTCTGGTTCAAAACGCCGTCACACGGTACAGGCAGTGCACGCGCTGACCTAGAGCATACTATACAAGGCGACAATCCCGTTTACACTTGAACTACTGACCAGCAGGTACAAGTGTCTGCATGATAACGGTGCGTTCCGTAAAAGTTAACATGCGAGTTTCGACCGCACGTTGGTGTACCCCTTCGTCAACTCATCATACACCGGATCTTCTGGACTGTTGCCGAACACGAGCG